GTGTGTGTGTGTGTGCATGCCCAAGATCCCGGGAGGAGAAGAGAGAAGGGATTACAACATGGCCATACCCCTTGAGGGATGATTTCTCACTTTCCCTCATACTGTCTCTGTCTCTCTCTGGCGAGTGCATGGACCCTACGGCAAAAATATCTACCAAAATAATAATAATCATCATGATAACTAAAATAAAATAAAATAATTTTTTAAAAAGAGACTAGAATAATTTCTAAATATCCATTCACCTCTTTGCTGTTTTGAGTTTTTTTTTTTTTAAAGGAAGATTTTTGTTATAGGGCATGTGCGCTCACCAGAGAGACAGAAAGTGAGAAGTCACCCCCAGGGCAGATGGCCACACCACAGTCCCTTCTCCTCCATTCTCCTCTCCGGATTTTGGGCATGTACACACATGCATCCGGTGTGAGTTTTAAGTTGTTGGGTCCAGGACTCAAACTGCTACCAACTACGTGAGAGTCCAGAGACATGACTATTATACCATCTGTGGGCCCTGCTTTTTTGAATCTTCTAATAAGGGCTGTGAAAGATACCAGTTTTTAAAAATTGTTTTTATTTTTATTTTTATTATTATTTTTTTTATCCTGAGTGATTTTCCTCCAAATGGATTTTTTTCTGTTCATGTATATTCATATATATTCATGTTTAGGCATGAATATTTGCTATGTAAATAACCCTTGAAAATCATCAGTCATTTTCTGGGACTAATCCTTTTTTTAATTAATTATGTATTTAATTCCATTTGTTACTATTATTTTTTAATTTGATCAGAGAGACAGAGAGGGAGAGAGAGAGAAAGGGAAAAGGAGAAAGCAAGCCACCAGGTCTGGGACTCAAACCTTGGTCAGCCACGTGGGAATCTAGTGACTTTAAACCACCATGCCGCCTGTTGGCTCCAGGACTAATTCTTGACTCTTGTTTATTTTGTTTTCTTTCTGTCTAAAGGGATGATTCAGACAAACACAGCTTCCAAGACTCAGAAGGATGTTATCAGAAGACCACGGTTTGTGTCCCCACAGGATGTGGCGCGGATGAAGGGAGGGCCAGAGTAAGTGTGCGGCACGCTGTTTGCTGGCGGGTGTTTGAGCCGTGTGTGCCTTGATCCCATCACGTCACTCGTGAATCTGGACCCCACGTTCTGAAAGTCTGCTTGCGTTACACTGAGATTTCCCTTCGCATCATCTACGAGTCGGGCACTGGTTAAGCGGTGTGGTGTGACGGAAAGGATACCAGATTGGGAAACCGGTCTTCCCTCTAGCCACAGGGGACTTTTGGCGAGTCCCTCAAGTACCAAGGGCCTTAGCTTTTCCAGCTGCAAATGGTTGAATTAATGGGGTGTGCCTATAAAACCACTGAATGCGCTGGGTTCTTGTTTTGCTGTGGATTTTTCTGTGTCTGTAGTTTTACTGCAGAATTTGTGGAAGGCCAAGAGCGAGATGGAGAGAAGAAAGGGATGAGGTAGCTGCCTCAGGCTGAGCAAGGGCTTTGCAGAAAGAGAACGCTGATTAAAGGGAATGTTTAAAGGAAATTGGGCCATGGGGGACTTGTTGCAGCTCTGCTCTGTCTCCTCTTAGAACTCCCAGTAAAACCGACATTGATCGTGAACATTTTTGGAGTTAGACTTTAGTTTTTTTTTTTTTCTGGGTGTGATTATGTAATACAGGCTTCAAGGCAGGTATAAAATCAAGGGATTCTGATTGGATTCTTTGGTTGTAGGAATTTAAGATAGTTCATAAAGAAAGGAAGTTACTAAAAGGATAACTGTGAGGTAATATGGGAATGCCATCTCATGGCGCAGAGCTGCAAAGACTTTAGCAAATGCATACTGCCTCTCTGGCACCCTCATCCTCAATAAATACATGGAGAACCAAATAATTTGGGCCACACTCCTCAGGGACCGCGAGCCTCCTGGCCTCCCTGCTAAAGGTCATCGCTTGTCTTGTGTGTTTTATCTTGCTCACGTTTCCGGGGGTCCTACTTTCTGGTCCCGTTGGACATGACAATCTCGCAAGAACCCAAGGAGGGGACTGAACCACATCAAAGCCTCGGGGTGGGAGTCGGTTCCAACTCAGCTCTATCCTAGGCTCACAGATCCCTGCCCGGACGCTGAACAGCCTGGGCTCTGGCCTGAGACCGCTTCGGTTCATATTCAGCCTTGCTCCTCATTCATTGTGTGGAGTTGGATGAATTCCTCACTTGACAACTGCTCATCTGTAAGATGGGTTTAATGATAGTGCCTTCCTCAGGGCCGGACAGTGGCGGGGGCGGGGGGGGAGCGAAGCTTTGTAATGCTGACCATGTGTCATGAGTTTTATTTTATTTTATATATATTTTCTAAATTCTTTATAAATTATTGGGATCAGCAGTTAGCATAATGGCTATGTTGCTGGACTCCCATGTAGTCGACCGCGGTTCAAATCCCAGACCCGGCGACTTAAACTCATGCCGGGCGCGTGTGCATGCCCAAGATCCCAAGAGGAGAATGGAGGAGAAGGGATTGCGGCGTGGCCATCCCCCCTGGGGGGTGATTTCTCGCTTTCCATGTCTCTGTTTTTCTGGCGAGCGTACGTGCCCTGTAGCAAAAACGTCTCCCCTCAAAAAATTATTTATTTAATTTTATTTACTCATCCATTTATTTTAATTTGACTAGACACACACACACACACACACACACACACACACACACACACAGAGAAAGTGAGAAAGCAAGCTACCAGGTCCAGTACTTGAACTGTGGTTGTTCATGTGGGAGTGTACAGCACCCTAACCATCACACCACCTGTGGGTCGCCTTATTTCTTTTTAAAGAATTATTTTTTATTTAGCTTTATTTATTATTATTTTCCAGTTTGATCAGAGACAGACAGAGAGAGAGAAGAAAAGTGAGAAAGCAAGCCACCAGGTTTGGGACTCGAACTGCAGTGGGCCATGTGGGAGTCCAATGCCTTTAACCACCATGCTACCTCCTGGCCCCCTGTCATGAGTTTTAAGCCACCGGGTTAAGGACTCGAACTGTGGTCAACCATGTGGGAGTCCAGCGATGTAACTATTATGCTATCTCCTGGTTCCAAAAATTCCTGTTCTTACTCATCCTGAAGAAACACACTTGCTGGAAAAAAAAAAAAAAAAAGAAAGAAAAGAAAAACACACTTGCTGACGCTTGCTGTCAGAATAAGGGCCATGAGTACTGTCCTGGGCAGTCGGTGGAGAAATGAACTATAGCCCACTCTCCTGTTCCCCGACTTCTTAATGACTATTCACTCAAACCGCCCTGAAGTACACAGGGGAAAACCAGAATGGAAATCTGAGCTGAAAACGCACATGAATTATTGGGTCAATCCTTCTCATTCCAAATGAGTTTATATTTTATACAACAGAGTCTTTAAAGAGTTGTTTTTTATTTATTTATTTTTTGTTAAGCCATTTATTTTAAAAATGTAATTGTTTAATCATAGAAAATTTCAAACATAAAGTAAGAAGAATTCTGTAGTAAACCCTATATACCTGTCCATCACCTGGCTTCAGTAGCTGTCAATACTTTACCAACTCATTTCTCTCATCCACACCATCACCTCTATTTTTTTTTTTCTCTTTTACTGGAGTATCTTAATGTAAACTCCACACTCATTATCATTTCCCTGTAATATTTTAAGTGTGCCTTATGTATGTCTCTAGAGAGACACAGAGTGAGAAGAAAAGGCATCCCTCCCATGGGGAATGACCATGCCATAATCCTGTGTTCTGTGGTTTTCCCTTGCCTCAAAAATGTCTTTTCAGGGGCTGGCAGGTGACATGGTGGTTAAGGGGCTGGACTCCCACATGGCCGATCATGGTTCAAGTCCCAGATATAGTGGCTGGCTTTCTTACTTTCTCTCTCTCTCTCTCTGGCCAAATGAAGAATAATCATAAGTAAAATTAAATAAATAATTAACAATTTTTTTCATAGTCGATGAATACAGTCTATATCTTATATGCGTTAATCTGTCTCTTTTTTAATTAAAGAATTATTTTTAAATTTAACTTTATTTACTTATTTATTTACTTTTTTAAAGAATTATTTTATTTAACTTTATTTATTTTATTTTAAATTTGACCAGAGAAGGGCAGAGTGAGAGAGAGAGAGAAAGAAAATGAGAAAGCAATCTGTCAGATCTGGGACTCAAACCGCGGTTGGCCATGTGGGAGTTCAATACCCTTAACTACTGCACCACCTGCTGGCCCCACTTATTTTATTTATTTTAATTTGACCATAGAGGGATAAAGTGAGAGAGAGAAAGAGGGAAACTGGGAATGCAACCCGGCAGGTCTGGGACTCGAACCGCGGTTAGCCATGTGGGAGTCCAGCACCCTTAACCACCACATCACTTGCCAGCCCCTGATTTGTCTCTTAAGTGTCTAAATCTATTACAGTTTCCCCCTTCTACCTTTTCATACCATTTTGAAGAAAGAAATTGAGTGGCGTGATGTATAGAATTCCCCAAATTCAATTGTGCTAATGTGTCCCCATGAGGTGTAATTTCTGTAAATGAGTGACTAGATTTAGAGACTCGATGAACTCAGGTTCATTTTTTGGCCAGGAATACAAAACATGTGATCCTTTGTACTTCCTGTCATGTCTTTGTTTTTAAAGTTTTTCTATAGGGTGCATGTGCTTGCCAGAGAGAGACATACAGAGAGGGAGAGAGAGCGAGAAAGGGAGAAATTACTCCCCAGGGAGAATGACTGGACACAGTCCTTTGTCTCTCATTTCTTCTCAGAATTTTGAGCACATGTGTACATGTGCCTGGTGTGTTTTTCAAGCCACTGGGTCTGGGACTCAAACCACTTGGCTATGTGGGATCCTGCTGCCTTCACCACCACCGGCTGACTCTACTGTCACATCTTATTAAGAAGTATAGGGCTGGCCCTGTAGCTTAGTGATTAAGAGAGCCAGACCCCACATGGCTGACCATGATTTGATTCTTGGCCCGGGCAACTTGAAAAACATGCCAGGTGCATGTGTACATGCCCCAGCTCCTGACAGGATAGAGAGATGGAAGGCACAGGATTGTGGCATGACCATGCCCCATTGGGTGTGCACCCCCCAACCCTTGCAAGCACACATACTCTCTGGCAATTAAAAATAAATAAAGCCATCAATAAAGAAAGATGTAACATTTGAATGTCCTGTTTTTGGTGAGGATGAAGAGTGGGCTCTGGCTGTTTCTGTCTGAGCCTTCAGACAGGAACAGAATGTTGCAGCATTCCTCATGTGACTTTCACGTCATGGTTTCAGTAGCTATCGATGATTGTTGTGTAGATCCGTTATGTATTAGGTATTGCAAAATGGTGTTTTTTCAAATTCTGTCAATTATTTTGCAATTATAGCTGTGGTTCATTTATAACGAAGAATTTTTCCTCATGTATGTTAACCCCATATAATTCATACAAGAAAGGCAGAATTCTTCCCCTAAATTTTAGTATACTTAAATGTTTATCATTGATAAAGGAGCTATAAGACACACTTGCTTAATGCCCACACCTTAGGATCTTTGAAGGTTGGACAAAAAACTTTTTTAAAAGAAGGATTGATGCTTTTACCTTTTATTTTTTAGAGAGAGAGATTTTTGCTACAGGGATTGTGTGTTCGCCAGAGAGACAGAGAGAGTCAAAAGGCAAGAAATCACCCCTTGGCAATCCTTTCTCTGTTCTCCCCTGGGAATCTTGGGCGCGCGTGCACACACACACACACACACACACACACACACACACACGTGCTCATTGTGAGTTTTAAGCTGCTGGGTCTGGGACTTGAATCACATTCGATTCTGTGGAAATTCAGCAACATAACCATTATGGCATCTGCTGATCCCAGTGCTTTTACATTTTAATTCAATGGGAAAGAGCAGTTCATTTACCAAATTAAGAACAGTTACTGCATTTTGTAAAATGCATGATTACTGGTATGTCTATACCAGGGATGCAGGGATGTAGTCTAAGGGAAAATTCAAAATCAAATACTGTATTTCTCTAGAAAACATTGGCTCGATGGCTAGAAGTTAAGGAAAGTAAGTCTTGGGCATATAGAGCAGTGAACCATGTAAGTTTCTCTCTCTTTTTATTCGCAGCCAGCAGCCAGCCCAGACCCAGTCAGACTCTTTGATCCCAAAACTTCTTTCCCAGTGGGCCCTTTCGAGTGGATATAAGGTACTTGGTTTTCACTTTTTGGTGGGTGAATCATTTAAAGGTGGGAAAATACTTTGCCACAAGAGCGTCTGTTTGTTTGAATGAATAAATTGCTACTGAAAAACTGAGATCAAGATTCAAAGGCAGGCGACTAACAGGAACGCGTCCTTTTCCCAGAGAACAACTCACCTCTGCAGATCACCTTGTCGTTCCCCGAGTTGAGCCTTGCGTGACCTCACTAGGGCAGATCCTCAGCACAGCCCTGTGGGATAGGTGTTAGTATCTCTACGTGCTACATCTAGATTTTTAGTTTCCACTTCGTGCTCCAGCTCTCGTGCAGCCCAGTCAGCTTGGATGCCATGAGTACCTCCACTTCCTCTGCCCAACGCTGCTCTTGGAGCAGTAGGTGAGGAATGTGCCAGATCACTGGACCAAACTGGACACTGCAGGGACCTCCCTTTGTCCTAAAGCATATGCGTTGTTAGCCCCGACTTGGCCTGAACAGAGCTCACTGCTGTCTGGTTCTGTTAGAGTGAACTGCCGGATGTGGGACCTGGACCAGCTTCTCCCACCTGTTGTCAGAGCCTTGGCAATGATACTGCATGCTGTAGGGGCCCACGCACGTGGACAAAACACACTTTCAATGTCTCCTACTTTACATTTACACATTTTTTAAATTTTTAGTTATTAGAGCTCAATAACCAGCATCCGGAATATTTAAAAATAAGTGAGCATTTTAAAGCTTCCATGAAAAATCTCAAGATTGAAAAGATAAAGATGATCCTGAACCCAGAGCTCTGGAATACTTTTGAAAGGTTGGTGGCCATGTTACTGACTTTTCTTACATATAATCTGAAAGAATTAAGATCTGTCTTTTAAATTTTACTTTTTAAAAAAAGTTATTTTACTTAAGCATGTATTTATTTATTTATAATTTGACCAGAGAGGGACAGAGTGAGAGAGAGAGAGGGAAAATGAGACAGCAAACTGCCAGGTCCTGGATCTGAACTACAGTCTGCCATGTGGGACTCCAGCATCCTCAACCACCACGCCACCTGCTGGCCACCTAGAATTTACTTAAAAAAAAATTACCTGTATAATTTAATGTATGATTATTATTTTAATTTGATCAGAGAGAGACAAAGAGAGAGAGAGGGAAAGTGAGAAAGAAAGCTACCAGATCCAGGACTTGAACCATGGTCGGTCATGTGGGAATCCAGTGCTTTAACTACCATGCCACCTGCTGGCTCCTTTAAAATGTTCTGTTCACCAGTTTAGTTTCTTCTATCTTTTTTTTAATTGTGTAAACTTGAGCTTCCCTCCTTTAGATTTCGTCTTACAATTTAGTGATTTCATGTGTCTTTTTTTTAAGAGTTTTTTTTTTTTTTTTAAGATTTTTTTTTTTTTTTTGCCTTAGGGTGGGTGTGCTTGCCAGAGACAGAGAAAGTGAGAGGGAAAGTGAGAAATCACCCCCCTCCCCCAAGAGGGGATGGCCATACTTCAATTCCTTCTCTTCCATTGTCCTCCGGGGATCTTAGGCACATAAGCACGTGCACCTGGCATGATTTTCAAACCACCAGGTCCGGAACTCAAACCGTGGACGGCCATGTGGGTGTCCAGCTATGTAACTGCTATGCCATCTGCTGGCCCCATCATTTAAAGCTTTCATAAATTTGTTATTTTACAGGTGCTGCCTTCAAGTTAGTAGCTCTATTCTAAAACTGATGGAATATATTTGAAAAATGATTAGACCTAAGTTGATATGAATGCTATTAACTGGGGTGGGAAAGGGTTGTTCTCGGTTGGGATTAGTATTAGTTGAGTGGATGAGGCATGTTCTTGGTGTGAAATCTCACATTTTCTGTATTAGGAGGAAATCGAAAATGAAGAAGAAAGATGAAAAACTTCTGTTTCATGCAGCGGGCCGCCGCCAGGTGGAGTCTATCTGTGTGAATAATTTCGACTGGGTCTTACATGAATGTCACGAAACCAAATATGGAAAAGGTTTGTGCGGGAAGAGTCGTTCTTGTCTAGTAGGGTCCTAACTCGGGCCTGTTCGTGCCTCTCCGGTGAAGTACATATAATTGTTCTGTACGCCCAGGCTTTGGGAGTCATGGAAAGGAAATATGCTCACAGTAACCCTATATGCCCAAGTGGGGGTTGTCCTGTTGACTTGGGGCCTGCTTGCTGGACCTTAGCCCTGCTCCTGTCTTCTGTTTTTTTTTTGGAAGTGACCAAAAAGTGCCATTCATGCTTGCAGACGGCTTCATCTGTTGGTCCCAGTGTCTTCCATTGCTGCTCTGTTCTGGCTTTAGAACTGCCTGACCAATGTCCTGTAAAGCCACATAGAAAGGGAAGACGTGGTTTCCTCTGCTCCTGTCCCCTCTGTCCCCTCCAACTTCTAGCCACTTACAGTGCCCTGGGCCCAGGTCCCTTAGTTACTGAGTCAGAGTCAACCTGATCTTTTTCTTTTTATTTATTTTATTTATTACTATTATTGTTATTATTTTTAAATTTGCTATCGGACACACATGGTCATCAGCAAGAGACAGAGAGAGACAAAATTAGCAAGCCACCACATCTGGGACTCAAACCATGGTCGACCATGTGGGTGTCCAGAGCTTTTAACCACCACACCACCTGCTGGCTCCAACATAATCAGTTTTGATTCTCAGCATGGAGAGTCTTCCTCCCCTGGGTCTTAATTCAGAGTTATTTTTCAGTTAATGAAACTATTATTTTTTGCAATGCATTTCTAGATTTTATTCTGGTACTTACAAGTTGACTATGATTCTTTTTTTCTTTTTATATTCCTCTCAGTAATTTTATTTCTCCCTGAGGCATAGAGTGTGTCTTGATAAATAGAAGGATGGTTCTATTTATTGCAAAGAAAGAAAAAAGAAAAGAGCACAGTATTTTTGACAGTATTTTCCATTACATCAATTATATTGAATGAATGAAAGAAACTGAATCAAGTGGATTACAGAAAAGCAGCCTTTTTTGAAGCTATAGACCCCTAACACAAACAAAAGCTAGCTAGGCAGAAGAAAAGGGTTTGGAAAAGAGTATTTATAAAGGGGCGGGCCCTATAGTCAAGTGGTTAAGTGCTGTGCATATGGAGCCAGATTGCACATGGCTGGCTCTGGTTCAAATATCAGCTCAGGAACTTGGAAAAAAACACTAGGCATGTGTGCATACATGCCCAGTGTTCTGACAGACTGGGGAAAAGGAGGAAGAGGGATTGTCATGTGATCGCGCCCCATTGGGGGGGTACTTTCTTTCTCTCTCTCTCTTCCTCCCCCTCTCTCTGGCAAGTGCATAAGCCTCTGGCAATTTTTTTTTTTCTTTTTAAAAGGAGTGTTCATAAAGATGAGAGACTGGCAAAGGCCAGGAGTAGCTGGAAATGGCAGAACACTTTTTGGTTTTTGTTTTCACTGTAGGGTGTATTCACTCACCAGAGAGAGGGAAAGTGAGAAATCACCCCCCAAGGGGGTTGGCCATACTGCAATCCATTCTCTAGTCTCCTCTTAGGATATTCGGGGTGTGCCTGCAAATGCACCCCGTGTGATTTACAAGCCACTGGTTCCTGGACTTAAAGGTGCAGCCAGTCATGTGGGAATCCAGTGCCTTAACCACCACGCCGACTGCTGCCCCTCAGCACAGCACATTTAAGGCGTGATGGAGGTGATAAAAGGTGAGGCTGGAGCTGGGAGTGTTTTTTTCCTTAGCCCAGCAAATATGAGGAGGGAGTGAAGAGGTGCTAGAGGCAGGCAGCAAGATGAAAGTTAACAGCTTCTCACTGGGAAATGAGGAAGAATGATCTACAAAACACAAACACACCTTGACATTTTTATCTCATGGTAGGGCCATTAGCATAGGGTAGAGAGCTCTGCTCACCTTACTGACGAGGGCAGGCTGTGACACCGTGTGGCAGGATTCACATTTACATCCAAGCTATTTGTAAAGAAGAGTAAACATGAGTTTATTTTAAAAAAGGAATGATTCGTTTTATTTGATTTATTCATTCATTCATTTTAATTTGACCAGAGAGAGACGGAGAGAGAGAAAGTAAGAAAGCAAGCCACCAGGTCAGGGACATGGCCATGTGGGAGTGTCCAGTGCTTTAACCACCATGCCACCGACTGGTCCCAAGTTAATATTTTTAAATCAGAGAAATTCATATGCATTAGAATGATATATAGCTTAAATTGTTTATAAAAAACAGATTTTCCATCTTAAATTGACAAAAATTTAAAGGATAAGTAATATCCAGTGTTGATAAGGATGTGATTCAAGTCCTGGTGACATGAAAAACATGCAGGGTGTGTGTGTGTGTGTGTGTGTGTGTGTGTGTGTGTGTGTGCTCAAAAGAGGAGACTGGAGAAGGGATTGTGGTGTGGCCATCTTCCTTGAGAGGGGTGCCTTCTCACTTTTCCTCTCTGTCTCCAGTGAGCACATGCGCCCTCTAGCAAAATGTTTTTTAATGTATTTACTAGGATATTTTAGGAGTATTTATTTAAAAGTGCTGTTTGTAATAACAAGAACGTGAAATTAACCTACATGCTCATCAATGTGGGAGTAATTAAATTATAATACATTAGTACAACAGAATCTATGAGCCATTATAAAGAATGGTGTGGGGATAAGATGTACTGATGTAAGATTTCTAGATTAAAGTGGGAAAAGAAGCTGTAAAACAGTTCATATACTGTGTTCCTATTTGTGAACAAATAAACATAAACCTATATCAGCACAGGGGCTGGCAGGTGGCATGGTGGTTAAGGGCATTGGACTCCCACATGGCCAACTGCAGTTTGAGTCCCAGACCTAGCGGCTTGCTTTATCACTTTCTATCTCTTAAAAACAAAACAAAACAACTCTATCAGTGTATATGAGCATATGTATGTATGTGCATACATAGAAACAGGTGTGAGAGAGCGCCCCCCGAGCATCAACTGGGAAGAACAGTGGGACCGGATACAATAAGGAGACCCGTAGTTTACTCTGAGCACTGCAGAATTTCACTTACACAGACTATCCGGACTAACCTATTCAAAATTTAACTGTGGGAACCAGCAGTTAGCGTAATGGCTATGTCGCTGGATTCCCACGTAGTTGATCGTGGTTCACGTCCCAGACCTGGGGGCTCAAAACTCACACCGGGCGCTTGTGCGTGCATGCCCAAGATCCCGAGAGGAGAATGGAGGAGAAGGGATTGCGGCGTGACCATCCCCCCTGGGGGGGGTGATTTCTCACTTTCTGTCTCTATGTCTCTCTGTCTGTCTGGCGAGCGCACATGCCCTATAGCAAAAACCTCTCAAAAAAAAAAAAAACTATAAAAAAAAATTAAAAGCAAACAAAATTAAGTGGAAAGTGCATGAAACATTTGTTACCATAAATAAAGCACATTCTTTTTACCCATTGATTTCTGCATGGAAATCAGAATTCATCTCCCCATTTCCTTTAACATGGCAGAAGAGCATGTGCCAATGATAATAGCAAAAGCGGGAAATTGGGGGGGCTAGCCCCATGGCCTCATGGTTAAGGGAACCATTTCCCACATGGTTGACAGCTATTCGAATCCTAGCCCCAGCAACTTGAAAAACATGCTAAGTACACGTGTACTCATGCCCCGAATCCTGACAGGATGGAGAGGGACGCTTTCTCCCTCTCCCTCTGTGTCTCTCTCTGGTGAGCACATTTGCTCTCTGGCAAAACAATAATAACAACAACGAACTTGGCAGAAAACAATCTGTAGAGTATAGAAATATCAGCGGTGACCTGGGGTGCTTTGGAGTTGAGGACGATGCGTCAGCTGTGTCCAAAAGTCTCTGTCATGTCTGTTCCTTGTGCGTACTGTCTCTCTCCCTCTGACATGTCTGAGACCTTCCTGTCAGCAGAAAACGGCCTTGCTTCCCTAGAAGGTAAAGATGGCCTCTGACCTGGAGTGTCTTTGGCTCATGGCTGCCACTTGACTCATTCAGCTCGCCCAGCCTGAATTCCATAGACAGTGCCACTGCAACGTCACCAGATGGTCATTGTGCTCACTGGCTCAGACCATCCCCTGTGCTGTGGCAAATGCTTTGCAGGCATTTCAGCGGGTTATGTTTAGCTGTATCACAAACATCATTTCCATGTGAATTTATGAATACCACTAAGCTATTAGCATATGCTTATGATCTGATAATGTGTAAATAATCTTACAGACTGCACCCTTTTTTACGATAACTCTTCTGTTTTTCAAGTTTCTTACTTTTTTTAAGAGAGATTTTTGCTATAGGGTGCATGTACTCACTGGAGAGACAGACAGAAAGCAAGAAATCACCCCCCAGGGGAATGGCCACACCACAATCCCCTTCTCCTCTATTCTCCCCTTGAGATTTTTGGCATGCATGCACATGTGCCTGGCGTGAGTTTTAAGCCGCCAGGTCTGGGACTTGAACCATGGTCAACTACATGGGAATCCAGCAACACAAACCATTATGGAATCTGCTGGTCCCATTCTTTCTTTCTTTTATGAAAGAGAGAGAGAGAGATACCCCCCTAGCAGGATCCACCCCAGATTTTCCCACTTCTGGATCATGTGCACACACACACACACACACACACACACACAGAGTACACACTGGGAGGTCTCTGGATGCAAATCCAGAACCTTCCCATGTGGGTTAGCCTCCAAGACTATTGTGTTTATCCCCTGTGTCACTCTCCAGCCCACCACCCCCTTTTATAGTAATACTTTTTTAGAGGGAAAGATTTTTTTCTATACGGTGCACGCATTTGCCAGAGAGGCAGAAAGAGACAGAGAGACAGAAAATTAGAAATAACCTCCCAGGGAAGATAGCCACACTGCAACCCTTTCTCCAATCTCCTCTCGGGATTTTGGGCATGCACACACACGCACTCAGCATGAATTTTAAGTTGCCAGGTCAGGGACTTGAACTGTGATCGATGGCTGGTCCCTTCAATAATTCTTAACCTTTGTCTTTTCCTGGTTATCTTCAGGAAACTACTTTGCAAAGGATGCCATCTACTCGCACAAAACCTGTCCGTACGATATCAAAAATACCGTTATGCTTGTAGCGCGAGTCCTGGTTGGAGAGTGTATTGAAGGAAATATGATGTTCCTGAGACCGCCTCCGCCCTATGACAGCTGCGTGGATACAAGATTGAACCCCTCCGTTTTTGTCATCTTTCAGAAAGATCAGATCTACCCAGAATATGTGATTGAATACACGGAGGTAGACAAAGACAAAACCTGTGTGATTAGTTAGAGCTGACAGACACAGCTTCATGAAGGGCGCCCTGACTATTCTGTGTACTTATAGAACCAAACTATCTGAGACTACAGCTAAATGTTTATACTTCATCTCATCCTCGAACGCCTTAGATCAGTAGTTCCAAACTTTGCTGCACATTGGAATCATCTGGGGAGGTTTAAGAAAGTTGTGCCCCATCCAGTGAAATCACTGTTTCTGGGGGTGAGTGCCAGGCAGTGGGATTTTTTTTTTTTTAAGCGCCTCAATGATTCCAATATGTTGGCACTTAGAGGTAACTGGTAAACACTGATTTCTAAATTTTCTGTTCTTGCAGCAAACTTTTGCCCCCATCTACTCTTTTAGTTTACTAAATGGGTATATAAATGGGGTTTTTTGTTTTGATTAAATTTAAAAAAATTAATTTGGGAAATTTGAGAGGAATCGACTATTAGCCTGTTGGCATAAGAATATAAGACCGTGTAGACTGGGATAAAAGATTATAAAAGCGAGGCGGAAAAAATGCTTGGGAACATGCTGGGGATAAGAAGTAAAAAGTAATGCTACGCAGGGTCTTCAAAAAGTTCATGGAAAATGCATATTCTGAAAAAACTGCACAGATTTCAAAAATAGCACCGAAATGCATTTGTACTTTAATTCCACGTTTCCACGAACCTTTGAAGTCGATTCCATATTTCCGTGAACTTTTGAAGTCTCCCTATATGACAGACATAACCGCCGTATTGTACTTTATCTTCGTGATGAACGAAATTAGAGAATGCATTTCTTTATCTCTTCATTTGCTTAGGGGACAGACTCCATCCGGGTTGGCTCTTCCTGGAATGCAATTACAAGAGCCACCAGCTGTGGCTTTAGACAGACACAACCAACCAGAGTAAATTGCCCATTTGGGCTCTTTATGTCATTATGGCAGACTTTCGGCTTCTAATTAATGTGACTACAGAGGAGGCTCCTTTCAGGTCAGGCTTTCGTGAACTGCTTGTGTTTTGGGAAGGACCGAGTTGCAGTAACCAGATTTACATAAGCATGACTGACACACCCAAGTGCGTTAGTTGTCATTCACTCCAGCAAATAAGGCTCACCCAGAAACGAGGAGCTGGGCAAGAGCAGGCCCCCTAAGGAGAAGCGATTTGTTTCTGGGTGAGCACATATCGGAACAGAATAGGCCCGTATCTAGGGGCTTCTTTTTCTAACTATAACGATGTGTGAAATTGTGGTACAATTTCTTGCCTTTTTAAAGATAGGGTCTTCTGGCCCAGTCATCGTGGTGGACAGTGCTAAGATGCTGTGTTCTTCAGGCTGGGACCCCATGGGGGACCTGAGTTCGATTCCTGGTCCATCCTAAAGATCAGGCACAGTGGCATGTACCTGTAATCTCAACGACTGGGAGAGGCTGATGTAGGAGCACCATATGCTCAAGGTTGTTGGCCTGGGCAACACAGTGAGACCCTGTCTAAAGACAAGCTGGGCGTGGTGCTGTGTACCTGTAGTCCTTATAATAAGCAAGACCTTATTTAAAACCAAAAAAGGGTCTTTCTATGTCACAGTCGTCCTGCTTCAACATCCCTGATGGGGTTACAGGTGCACGCCACCCCTCCCAGCTCTTTTGAAGACAGGGTCTCACTATCTTGTCCAAGCCAGCATTGAGCTTGCAGTCCTACAGTGAGTTTATAGAACAGTTGAGGTATCTGGACCAAAATTTCCTTCCTTATTATGACTTATATTTTTCCTCCTCACTTTCCTTCTTCAACATTCCACTCCAGTCGCCAAAATGTCCTGTTATGGCTCCTTCCAGCAGACATGTTACAAATAATGAATTAGAGTTGATTTTATATTAGTCAGGTTTTAGACTAGTAGAAAGATCTCCACAACTCCTTCATCTAAAGAGACCTACCACTAACAAATGTACAGGGATGTGTTTTAGAGCAGGGCTATTTTCGGGGAGGCTTGCCGCAAATGCTTATTCTAATTCACCTCTAGCGATATATTTTTTTCACGGTAGCTTCCATTTGGGAGTGTTGACTTCCTGACCTGACTCTCAGGTTGTAGAGGAGCAATTTATCCAGCTCTTTCCAACCGCCCATGGGAGATGCCTTTGGCTGGATATTTCACAGGCATCTCTGATCAACATGCCCCAAATGGAACTCTCGAATCTGCCTCCCTCAAACGAATGCCTCCTCCACGCCCACAGTATTCCACATTCACGTAAGTCTCTGGTGTCACCATCCACTCATCGGCCAAAGTGGACATCCAGAAGATAGCCTCAACTCCTCGCTCTCCCTTCTTCCACACGACCAAATCGTTCACCTTTTTTCCCCCCTTTTTTAAAAATTTTGCTATAGGGAATATATGCTTGTCAGAGAGAGGGAGGGAGAGAAAGAGAGAGAGAACTCTGTAGCAGAAGGGATGGCCACCACAATCCCTTCTCTTCTTGGCATTTTGGGCATGCACACACATATACTTGCTGTATTTTTCCAGCCTCTGGGTCCAGGACTCACACCATGCGGTTGGCCATGTGGGCTCCAGTACCTTCACCACCACACCACCAGCTGGCCCAGTTTCACCTCCTCAATATCTCTTTGGTCCCTTTTATGTCGTTTTTCACTTGGTGGTGAGAATGGACATAGTTTTTAAAATTTACTTAATAATGGTCTTTTACAGCACAAATCTGATCGTGCCTTTAGGACGACGTTCAAAACCATCAGCCCTCTGTGGCCTCTCCCTCTCTCGAGCACTTATTTCCATCCACACAAGCCACTGTGGCTCTCTTTCAGTTCTTGAAAGGTGAAGCCTGACACTAGAACTGTCTTTTGATTTCAATGACATACATAGTAACATTCACTTTATTATCCTTAAAATACAATTTGGAGGTCATTCTTCTACCCACACATACATTTAGAAATAAATTAAAAAGTAACAGTAATATAAAAGGGAAGACAAGGTACATCATTTGAGTGTGACTATCCTAGGTGACAGTGAAGTAAGCAGATGCTTACACCTTACAGTGAATAAATGCAAACTTCAAGGAAGGCAGGAGACCAGAAGCATGCGAAAGTGAACAAGCAGGGATACTAGCGGACATTAAAACAAAATCTAGTGATACAGTAACTTAGTGCATATGGTAACACTTACTGGTATCTAATAAGTGAAAGAACGGAATAGCCTTAATTGAAATAAAGATATTATGCAAGAAAATGTACAGATTGTCCAGACAGGGACAATTAGACAATACATTCTTGCAGACGAGCTGTAGTCATACGTGAATGTCTGCCGAGACATTCTAAATTCGTACAGGGTGTAGACTTTTTTTTTTTTTTTCTAATTCATGATAGTACGTGCCTGTGCATGCGCAAGAGGGAAAAAGAGAGAAGCACCCTTGACAGCGTCTTGTCACGCTGCAGTCCCCTTCCCTCTGCCTTCCAGCTCGTCACGGTTTGGGGCATGTACAAGCCCAGTGTATTTTTAAGCCGGTTTGGGGATCCAAACCTATGGTTGACCCTGTGGCTTCCAGCATGGCAATCGAGTCATTTCTCCTCATGACGAACGGTGCAGGTATCATCGGGTGTTCAGCACGCTTGACTCCCACGTACTAGGTGCCAGTTCACCCCACTCCCCTCCCTTAATCGTTGTGGCAACCTCAACCCCTATCAGACATAGTCACCCTTTTCAGAGCAAATATTTTGTAACATCTTTGTTTTTTTGAGATGACTCACATAGAACAAATTTATGTATACCCATGAACTTCTTTCTAAAAAATCTTTTTTTTTTTTTTTTTTTAAGGTTTTTGCCATAGGACGTGTGTGCTTGCCAGAGAGACAGACAGTGAGAGTCACCCCCTAGAGGGGATGGCCACGCTGCAGTCCCTTCTCCCACTCTCCTCTTGGGATTTTGGGCAAGTATGCACACACACCTAGCGTGAGTTTCAAACCAGTGGATCCAGGATGCGAGCCATGGTTGTCAATGTGGGAGTCCAGTACCTTAACCACTGCACCACCTACTCCCCCCTCAAACCCAAATCATTTTAATACCATAACTGTACAATGGAGAAGTGACAGGTAATTTGTAATGAAGATAAAATGACTCTCAATATGTAAAAGCTCAGGCAGGATGTGCTATAAGTCCACAAATAGATAGCTATTTATGCTTGGACTGAAAAGTCTATCAGGGCTGTTCTTGAGCAGAAATACGGGAGACCAGAAATTAGAAGTATGGGTGACCTTCAGATAAAATCCAGCACGAACGAAGTCATCACAGACTGCAGTGTTTCTGCAGAGTGATGGGAAGAGCGAAATCACCTTCACTGAGGCAAGGGTAACAGGACAGGACAAATGGCAGGTCATCTCGGAGGAAACAAAGAATTCTATTGTCTCTGACGAGCTATAGATCCTACATTTCCAGCAGGACTTTAGAGAGTCGTGCTGGGTACAGACGACATCTTGGTGGCGCAGCACTGACCTACGCAGAACACCTGCTGCCTCTGGCTGCCTGCCTTCAGTGCCACTGCTCGTTCTCAATCACGGGGACACCAAAAGAACAAGAACCACAGAGCTGGTCAAGATCTAGCGTCCCGCGATTAGCTCGACTGCTACCTCCACAGGAGTCCTGTAGAATAGGTCGGATCCTTGTCTTCCACACCCCCAGTGCTTCAAATACGCAGCGTTTGGCCGCGTTCATTTTGAGCATGTATCCGACTTGGAATCGTCTGCTTCCCGCATTAGAATGTAAGCTCCCTGGGGGCCGCGTCGGGTCTGCCAGCTGTGCCCTGCTTGCCGTTGGGCCTAGCTGGTGCGTGATACAGTGATATGTTGGGTGTCTTCTGCTCAATAAAGTAAGCTGAACTGTCTCTATTTCAGCAGTTAAGTGTATCACTTCTTGTTCTTGAAGCTTAATTTGAGACTATTGAATAAAAATACCTAAACGATGAACTGTTTTGCTCTCTCTTTTTTTTTTTAAAGTGTCATTATAGGGCATGTGCACTCTCTGAGAGAGAAGGAGGGAAAGTGAGAAACCACTCCCCAGGGAAGTGCAATCCCTCCTCTATTCTCCTCTTGGGATTTATGGGCATGCATACATGCACCCTGTGTGAACCCCTATCAGACATAGTCACCCTTTTCAGAGCAAATATTTTGTAACATCTTTGTTTTTTTGAGATGACTCACATAGAACAAATTTATGTATACCCATGAACTTCTTTCTAAAAAATCTTTTTTTTTTTTTTTTTTTAAGGTTTTTGCCATAGGACGTGTGTGCTTGCCAGAGAGACAGACAGTGAGAGTCACCCCCTAGAGGGGATGGCCACGCTGCAGTCCCTTCTCCCACTCTCCTCTTGGGATTTTGGGCAAGTATGCACACACACCTAGCGTGAGTTTCAAACCAGTGGATCCAGGATGCGAGCCATGGTTGTCAATGTGGGAGTCCAGTACCTTAACCACTGCACCACCTACTCCCCCCTCAAACCCAAATCATTTTAATACCATAACTGTACAATGGAGAAGTGACAGGTAATTTGTAATGAAGATAAAATGACTCTCAATATGTAAAAGCTCAGGCAGGATGTGCTATAAGTCCACAAATAGATAGCTATTTATGCTTGGACTGAAAAGTCTATCAGGGCTGTTCTTGAGCAGAAATACGGGAGACCAGAAATTAGAAGTATGGGTGACCTTCAGATAAAATCCAGCACGAACGAAGTCATCACAGACTGCAGTGTTTCTGCAGAGTGATGGGAAGAGCGAAATCACCTTCACTGAGGCAAGGGTAACAGGACAGGACAAATGGCAGGTCATCTCGGAGGAAACAAAGAATTCTATTGTCTCTGACGAGCTATAGATCCTACATTTCCAGCAGGACTTTAGAGAGTCGTGCTGGGTACAGACGACATCTTGGTGGCGCAGCACTGACCTACGCAGAACACCTGCTGCCTCTGGCTGCCTGCCTTCAGTGCCACTGCTCGTTCTCAATCACGGGGACACCAAAAGAACAAGAACCACAGAGCTGGTCAAGATCTAGCGTCCCGCGATTAGCTCGACTGCTACCTCCACAGGAGTCCTGTAGAATAGGTCGGATCCTTGTCTTCCACACCCCCAGTGCTTCAAATACGCAGCGTTTGGCCGCGTTCATTTTGAGCATGTATCCGACTTGGAATCGTCTGCTTCCCGCATTAGAATGTAAGCTCCCTGGGGGCCGCGTCGGGTCTGCCAGCTGTGCCCTGCTTGCCGTTGGGCCTAGCTGGTGCGTGATACAGTGATATGTTGGGTGTCTTCTGCTCAATAAAGTAAGCTGAACTGTCTCTATTTCAGCAGTTAAGTGTATCACTTCTTGTTCTTGAAGCTTAATTTGAGACTATTGAATAAAAATACCTAAACGATGAACTGTTTTGCTCTCTCTTTTTTTTTTTAAAGTGTCATTATAGGGCATGTGCACTCTCTGAGAGAGAAGGAGGGAAAGTGAGAAACCACTCCCCAGGGAAGTGCAATCCCTCCTCTATTCTCCTCTTGGGATTTATGGGCATGCATACATGCACCCTGTGTGCTTTTCTAGCCACCACATCCGGGACTCAAACTGTGCAGTCGGCCATGTGGGACCTAGCTGCTTCCACCTCCGTGTCACTGGCTGGCCCTGTTTTGCTGCCTTGATTTGCTCTATTCCTAGGTATCTCCAAAACGTAATCATTCGGCGATACCGCTTTGCTCAAAGGAGGAAGAGATCATGTGTTTGGCCC